ATTCCTGCTACTGGAAAAGAACACTCAACTACTCAAGAAATACCAGGTAGAGGTCATTCCCCCCACTACAGAGGGAGACAGAAGCCTCCCCAGTCAGTACCAGTCTGAACATAGGGTAACATTCTTTCCTGACCCCAAATATGATGTTGGTCTGGCATTGAGCAGAGGAGGAAGACCCTTTAACCCTCTGCTTATTGCACATGAGGAGCAGCAGAGATGTCATGTCTTTCTGTCCTGAGACTGGAAATTTGGTGATCTGTTCTCTATTCCTACCTAAGTTGTTCACTTTAAGCACATCCATTTACTTCCCTGGGCTTCTTCTTCATTTTACCCTTTCCAAATTAGGGATAATTACAAATACTTCCCCTCCTTTCTCAAGGGCTTTGAGGTATCGGGGTGAATTATGATGTATCAAACTTCTCATCGGTGCTATTATCATTAACAACACTGTAGTGTGGATCTGAACACATTGAGCTTAGTAAACCTTTGGGCAACTCAGGCTTTCTTGGTGTAGCATAAGAAAAAGGGTTCCCATTGGTGGAAAGTCCATGTGTAGCAGAAAGCCCCCTTTTCCTCTTGCCTGCATTTGCTCTCCCCTCTTTGGATGTTTCTCTTTTTCTACCTTTTCTTCCTTCCTCTCTCTTTCACTTTAAGATAAGGAATTGTGTTTTAAAATTTATGTGTGTGCATTTTGTATCTCCCTTTGTAGTTTGGTATTTTTATCTATTTGTGTGTCATGGCGTTTGTAGCTTATATTTTATACTCCTCACCTTTCAACTTTCAACTAAATGTGTTTTAGTTTCATAAGTAAGTTATACATTGTAACAACGTTAACAAGGGCAGGAATCAAACTGCCCTTCCCTGTATCAGGCTGGCCCCTGAAAGAGCGAGTGAATCAGTGATTGAATGTGTAACACTGTAGCAGCAGACAGCAATTAACACCTGGGACACTGCAGATCAACCAACGGAAGAATTCAATAGAAGACAATGTAACAACCGGGAAATCTCTTAACCCCACTGATCAAGGGCTAGAAGCCCTGGCCTGAGTTAATCAATGCCGGGGACCAACTTTTGGGCTGGATATCTCCAGATCACTCCCAGAGCCCTATTCAAAATTCATCAACGGACTCCCAAACCTGCACATACATGCGGACGACCCCTGGGGCTGACAGATGCCGTCCAGTAGCCACCAAGGGGGGGGAAGT